TATACATACATATATATATGTGTGTACACATATATATATAATTTGAATTTCTGGAAACTTTAACTTCAACTTTGGAAAAAGTTATCCCAATTTACTGTGTTGAGTTGACATTGTACAGAAATTAACAGCCATATTGGTCTAGAAATGTTAATTTTTTTTCTATTTGTACAGGGATAACACACTATATTAAATATGTAAGGCCATATCTACATGGGTTTGATTACAGAAACTAATAAAATATTCTCTAAATAATGAAAAAGAATAATATAAGACTACAAGAGCAAGAAACAATTTATTTAAATATGTTCAGGGACCATTTTCATCTCCAGAATTAAGGATTATTTTAATGTTACATCATTGCCTTTTCTCTTTTACTTTCCTTTTTAGTTTTATTTTAGCATTCCCTACTTTTAATGTTCATACAGAGATTTCTTTAACTGAAATACCGAACAGTTTCTCTGGTGTGAAAAACTATAATAGTACACAGGATCCTAATGAGATAATTAATAATGTGAAATAGGAAGTAAAGGGCTAAAGGTGTAGGGAAAGTGGGAAGGGTGAGGGAAAGGTAATAAGGGAGAGGAAAAAATATGAGAAACTGAAAAAAATGGAAATAAAGTGTTTGTAAATGGGGAGGGGAGGAGGGGGAGAAGGAAGGGCAGGGAAAAGGGGAAAAAATGAAAATGAAGAACTATCATGTAAAGGATCCCAATAATGTATGTAACTGTATTGTATACCTAGATTGTACCAAAAAACTCAATAAAAAGGAAAAAAAAAAAAAAGAACAAATCCTGCATGGTTGTTCTTATATGAGAAACACTATACACATATTACATATACACACATACACATATATATGTATCACACATAAATGTATATATGTATACACATACACAAAGAGTAAAATAGAAGAGATAAACAGGAAGTAGGGAGAAATTCAAATACTTCCTCAAATTATGTATTTTGTTGTTTTTAAAAATATTTTAATATATACTAATTTGTTTCATTTATACAGTACTAAAATTTTATCTTAGTTTACTGAATAGAAAGCTTATATTATCTGTTTCTTTTTTTGGTTTATGTCTTGTATTAACTACTTTGAAGATACACCCTGTAAAATTATTATTCTATTATTTGGTTGAAAATCTTTTATTTTTTCATAAAATATAAAATACTCAGGATTTACAAAGACTATATTTCTGTATTTACAATGTGGAAATAAAATTTGCCACCTATTTCAAAGTTCCACCTGTTTCCTATGTGGGGCTAATTGGAAAATACACTTCATAAGATGCTTTGTTGTTGGTTTTGGCAACTGAAAGTAACTGAATCATTCAGTGGGAATGAGGCTTATCAAAACACTAAGTAGTACAGGAAAAAAATTAATGGTAATAATTCTTTTCTCCCGTTTCATGGACAAAAGTAAAGGAGTCCATGAGCTCCACCCACAAGGAGGACCACACTTTCCCTGGCCTCCACAAAATACAGTGTACTTCTGGCAATACGCTAGAGATTCACAAGCTCTGCCTTAAGACCCTAAGGACTAATTTTGTTTTACTTTGAATCCCTACTTACATTAGTTACAAGAAGCCCCCTACTTTGATTCTTTATACTTTAATCTGTTTAATTCAAGTTTCTATGGACAATAAAGTATAAATTCTTCTATGGATAATATAGCACAAACTTCCTCCCCTAAATACCCTGCTATCCCCTTCTACCATTCTCCATAGAACTTCATTACCGGATACCATTATGATATTCATTTAAGTATTATGTAAATTAGAACTTCAGCTCCATTTCTGTGTTTAATTGGTGTTTATGCTTAGCATCTTGAACAACATCTGGCATATGGAAGATGCTAAAATATTAAAGTAAGGTAAATGGCAAATGAGGATAAAACCACCCAATGAAAAGTAAAGACCACCTTTTATAAATTGACAGTAAGAACAGCAGTCATATTTGTGATGGTAAAGCAAGCAACTGGAATTAGGAATAATCCAAGTTAGAATACAGGTTCTATGGGCTGAGGTGTAGCTCAGTTGCAGCACACATGCTTAGTATGCAAATTCCATCCGCAGCATCCCACCTCAACATACATATACTGTGTGTATACACACACACACACACACATACAATGCTGGTTTTACTATTTACTAACTGTATGAGCCTGGTTATGCTGAGCCTCAGTCCCCATAAAAGAATCTGTTAACTATCAATCTCATAAAACTATTGTAATATGACATTAAACATATGCATTGAATATTATACATATTTAGCAGTTAAAGCTCTTCAAAAACTACCAATTCAAAACAACTTAATGGATACTAACTGATTTACATAATCCAATTCAGAAAATACATTACCAGGGGAAAATACATACACTCCTAATTTCATATTTTAATTTGTATCTAAATAAAGGAATACTCTGAATAAAAATGTATTACCTATATACAATACAAAAAAATAAATGAACACGTTATTTCATTTTACCAACCTAACAAATCTATAAAATTGACAAGAGTGGGTATTATTATCACAATGAACACTTTGGTATTTGGAAAGCATGAACAGTTGTCTCTCTTTTATGGATGTGGTAAGCCTAGACCCTTAGAACATGCTAGCAAGATAGCCATACTGGTTGAGTTTATGTCAAAGAAGGTTTTTTTTTTTGTCTATAGCTCTTTCAATAAAACCACGTAAGATGATAATTTTGTTCACTTATGCAGCCTCCTGATCATAGCCAAAAGTTCTATTATGGTATATTTTAAAATTACATTTACAGCTTTGTGCAGTGGCAGTATCGTAGCCCATGAGGTTTATCCGAGGCGCGATTATTGCTAATTAAAATTACATTTACCCTTCATTATTTTTATCCTATGACACATAGAAGAGCAATAGGAATGACTGACTGAAAATTAGTCTCGCGACTATTTATCAAAAGTTCTTGCCCATATTTACTGTTCTCTGCCATAAACTGAAAAACTTATGCTCAATTATGCACTTTTCTAAAGACCACCGCAAAAGACATATAACTCAGACTTGCTGAATGAAGATTGATAGTCATTCTCAATCTCTTTTATACTAATGGGAGACTGAAATGAAAAGTTGGCCCCTGGATAATCTGCTTACATTTTAAAAACAAGAATATTTTTTTGGAGAGTAATATTAGATAATTGTATTATTGTTACTAACATCATTCTGACCAGTAACGGCGAATCTGCAATGGCATGGATTTGCTAAGTTGCAATTACTAGAGACAAAAACCATCTCATAAAAGTGACCTACTTAGTTTTTTGTTGTTGTTGTTGTTGTTTTGAGACAGGTTTTGCTGTGTAATTCAGGCTGGTCTTGAACTCACTATGTTGCCCAGGTCAGCCTCAAATTCACAGAGATCCTTCTGCCTCAGCCTCCCAAGTGCTTGAATTACAGGGTGTCCATCACTACACCAGGCCATGTACCTAGTTTTTTTGGAGGGGGGGTTCTTTTCCCTTTTTTCAAAAAAAAATTTTTTTTTTTGGGAGACAGGGTCTCACTGTATAGTTGAGACTGACCTGGAACTCATTATGTAGCCCAGGCTGGTATCGAACTTACAGTGATCCTCCTGCCTCAGCCTCCCGAGTGCTGGGATTACAGGTGTGCGCCACCACATCTGGCTCTTTTTTCACAATTGTATGGAATTTATTGGTACATTTTAGGTATACAGTACAGTTACATTCATCATTGGGATCTTGTACGTTTACATGATAGGTCTTGGTTCTCATTTTTTCCCCTTGTCCCTGCCCTCCCTTCACCCCCTCCTTCCTTCCCTATTTACAGATACTTTATTTTCATTTTCTCATATTTTTTTTTCTTTTCCCTTATTTCCTTTCCCCTACCCTTCCCACACTTCCCCTCCACTTTTAGCCCTTTTCTTTCTATTTCATATTGTCAGTTATACCATTAGGGTCTTATGTACAATTTTAGTTTTTCACACCACAGAAACTACTCGGTATTTACACATGTGACTTTTATTTATTTCACTTGAGTGTATCCTCAATATGCATCCATTTTCCTATGAATGACTCTAATTTCTCATTCTTTATGGCTGAGTAGTATTTCATTTTATAGAAAAACCACATCTTCATTCAGTCTCCAAATGAGGGCAAACGGGCTGTTTCCAAGTTTTAGCTATTGCAAACTGTGCCACTATAAACATGCGTGCACATATATCACTGTGATATGATTCTTTTAATTCTTTTAGAAAGATACCCAGCAGAGGGATGACTGGGTCAAATGGATTAAGGGAACCTCTAATCCTAGTTCTTTGAGGTATCTCCATATTGATTTCCATAGTGGTTGCACCAGTCTGCACTCCCACCTACAACGGAGAAGGGATCCTTTCTCCCCACAACCCCGCCAACATTTGTTACTGGTTGATTTCTTGATAGCAGCCATTCTTTGTGGGGTGAGGGGAAATCTCAGTGTTGTTTTCATCTGCATCTCTCGAATGACCAGTGATGTGGAACATTTTTTCATATATTTACTTGCTGCTTTTACTTCTTTGTCTGAGAAATGTCTGTTCATTTCGGATGCCCATTTTTGAATGGGGTCTTTATATTTGGGGGTGCCGATTGTTTTGAGTTCTTTATACATTCTAGATAATAGTCCTTTGTCTGAGGAGCAGCTGGTAAAATTTTTTTCCCACACTGTAGGTTGTCTCTTAGTTCTGTTGATGGTTTCTTTTGCAGTTCAGAAGCTTTTTAATAAGATGAGGTCCCAGCTGTTGATTCTTTCTGCTAGTTCCAATGCTGAGGATTTGTTCATAAAGTCTTCTCCTATGCCAATGCCTTCAAGAGTTCTGCCTGACTTACGGTGTTGGAAAAACTGGATTTCAACCTGTCAAAGATTAAAACTAGACCCTTATTGGCTGAGGATTTGGCTCAGTGGTTCTGGCGCCTGCCTTGGAAGCACAAGGATCCGAGTTCAATCCCCAGTACCAAAAAAAGACCCCCCCAAAAAAACTAGACCCTTATCTTTCACCATGCACTAAACTAAAATCCAAGTGGATTAAAGATCTAAATATTAAAAAAGAGCCACCTACCTAGTCTTATATAGGATGTGAATAGGACCGGGGATTTAGCTCAGTGGCACCACACCTGCCTCATAAATGCAAGGTCCTGAGTTTGATTCCCGGTACCCTCCCTCCCCACAAAAAGGGATGTGAATGATGACCTGAATGGGGAAAAAAGTGCTAGTGCCCAGCCATTCAGTTGCCCAGAGCTTATTTTATCTCTATTCGTTTGGTTTTCTTGAGACACATTTTTTGGTCTGTTTTTTGAGACAAGGTCTCACTTTGTAGTGCAGGCTGGCCTCGAACTCAACTATGGGCAAGCCTGCCTTAGCCAGCAGCTGGGATTACAGGTGTGTGCCACAACATCCAGAGAGTCACTCTTCTTGAAGGTGGAGTACTGCTGTCTCCCCACTTCAATGTGACTTCCATCATGAAACAGTACCTCTCAAAAGTCTAACTCTTCACTTTTCAACAACCCTCTCAGAACCTTTTAATAAAAAAAGAACAGAAAATTTTAAAACCCAAAGAATTCTTTCAGTTCTCATACTCTACCTGCTGAAGTAAATCAAAGTAATAACCATTTCTTTATGTTGAAACTCTTAGGTCTTTGTTTCGATTTTCCACTCCTGACTACCTCTTCTTACTCTTCATTTAGGTCCATTTCCTTCAGCTTATTATTGTAATTCTATCCTTGTTACTTTTTTGCTTGGCTATCTCATGAGCTAACATAGTTAGATCTTTCTACTGCATGCTGACAACACTCTAGCCTATCTTTTCTTTTGAATTGCACCTGAGTACAACAATGGTAACCCTGTTCACAAACTTATTTGTTCTACGATTTTGGAAGATGGCCATATTTGTGTTTGTGTGGGAAATATGGCCACAATCATGTTTGTCACCCAATGCAGAGTTTAGAATCAAAAACAAAATATGTCACACATTTCTGTTTACAAACCAAATTGTTTGCGAACAAAAGTACTCATGAACCAAGGTACCACTGTATTTTGGTAAGGTTTTCTTTCTTTTCTGCCACTATCAAGTGTCTGATATCTATCAAGCACTAGACATAGTGTCATGGTGAGGAATAAAAGGTACTATGTACTTTTGACAGGCATATCCCAGAACAGAAAATGACCTAGTGAACATTTAGTACTCACTGTAGTAGAGGTACACAAAGATTGTTAGAATAGGTGATGGATTCTGCTTCACTGTATTCCATGGACAGCTAAAAACCAATTTCACGCATCCAAATCCAAACCATCTGGTACAGTCAGGATTTGAAAGTGGATAGATTTAAAACAGGACATAGCCCTCACCAGGCATGGTGGCGCATGCCTGTAATCCCTACACTCGGGAGGCTGAGGCAGGAGGATCGCTGTGAGTTCAAGACCATCCTAGGCTACATAGTGAGTTCCAGGTCAGTCTCAACTACACAGTGAGACCCTGTCTAAAACAAACAAACAAACTAACAAACAAGCAAAAAAAAAACAGGACACATAATTTACAGGATTTTTATATTTTATAATATTTACCAACAACGTCAAATGCAGAGGAGCATAAGGGATCTATCCATAGGCTAGAGACCCGAAGAATCCAGCCAAGGGCTTGGATCCCACAGCAATGAACTGCAGAAGTCCAGCAGAAGGCCTAGAGCCCAAGGCAATGTCTCATGTAAGTCTGCATCCAGGATCTGCCCTGGGAAGCCCAAAGGCCAGTGGTGGAAGCTAGAAAGTCCGTGCGAGCGGGGTGAAGGATCTGTGCCATCAGGCTGAGGGATCTGCACTGGAGTCAGGAAGTGACACTCAAAGTGACGACCAGAGCTCCCCTGAAGAGAACAGCAGCCATCACCAGAGACAGCGAGGACTTGAGCTCCTCTGATGATAACAGCCAAATTCATTTCAGGAAAACCAGCTGTGGCAAGCTTCTCCAGGAAAATCAACAGCGTATCATCGTCCCTTCCAGTTTTCTTTTTAAACTGTTGGTAACAGTCCTCAGGTGGGTCTTCCATGCCCAGAACCATGCTGACTCAGTTTAGCTGGGCATTCCAAGTTGACCATTAGTTAATCCACCATACCATATGACTTTCACACATCATACAAGCACATTCTTCCTTTCCCTGCCATCATTAACAATCAGAGAACCAAGACAAACATAAACAAAAACAAACCAAATTTTTATTCTTCTTATTCTCCCTTAGAATTCTAATGGATTTTAGTTTTGCAACATGTATCCAATCTATCCCTTCCTTGCCATCCCTCATGTAATTAACTTTCAAAACTCTCCTTTCCTAGACTCTCTATAGTAAGTGCTTCTCTGAGTGCTACAGTTATATGACTTCTAAAACTTAGGTATGATTCTATATTCCATGCCCTCCCTGCCCTTCATTGCTTATGACTGAAAACAAAAATCCAATCTTTACATTTAGTCTTTCATATTCTACAATCTATCATTCTAGTCTTATCTCCTACTATTGAACAATCCACTCAATATTTCATTCAGTGTTATGCTTTTAAGGCTTTGCATGTTGTTTCCTTGGAAATGTGTCATTGTTTTCAGTTATTTTTCTCTTCCCCAACATCAATCTAAGAATACAATCAAGTATTTAACCTCCTTCCTCCCCTTCTACAATGTTGAGAGCTCTTGCTTAGCATGCACAAAACACTGGGTCAATCCTCAGTACTAGGGCTGGGGATGTAGCTCAGCAGTACCATGTCTGCCTGGCAAGAGCTAGGTCTTGAATTCGATGAGCGGGTTGTAGGGTGGGGTCTGCGGTACTACAAAAAAACAAAACAAAACCTCAGCATTTACATGTAATCTGTATCACCTTTCTTCCACTCTATTATATTTACTGATCCATTCATTCTGTAAACTAT